GGGGTGCAGAGGGGCCGGCGATGCAGCAGGGATGCGGCTTGGGGCTCTCGTGGGCGCCGGCTGCGCCCCAGGGGGTTGCCAGCTCCCCCGCAACGAGCCGCCCTCCGACGTTGGCGTCACGGTCTGCCAAGCACGCGCCCGAGAAACCAAACCGCCGCCGCGCCGCCGCCTTGCCGGGCGGAGAGCGGAGCTGCGGCGGCGTAGCCCCAGCGGCGTCTCCTGGGAGCGAGCCGTTTTGTGAAGCCGGATCGCATCCAATCACCACCTCAACCCGCGCACCTGAGCTTCATAGCCATGCGCCGTGCGTGCCACACGTGCGTCTCCAGCCGCCGCGGTCCCTCGAACCCAGGCGCCGCGGGGTCCGCCGCGCAGCTCGCCTCCGCGGCCGCCTGCACCAGCGCCGGGCGCCGCCGCATCGCGCGGTTGGTGGGGCGGCCGTCGGCGTCGAGCTCGAACTCCTCGCCGCTGCCCTCATCGCCGGCGGCAGACGGGGGGCCGCGCGGCGAGCTGTCGGGCCCGAGCGACGACGGGGCGGGGGACGCTGACGTGTCGGGGCCGCCGCCGGCGGCGCCAGGGGGCCCGCCGCCGTCTGAGATGTGGCGGTGGATGATCCACTGCTGCTGCAGCTTCGCATTGGGGCGCCGCAGCGCGTCGTGGCGGCGGTGGCTGGTCGCGCGGCTGCCAGGGCGGACGTGGGTGGGCGGGGATACGCATGAGGGCGATCTAGTGCACTGTGAGGGAGCGATCAGGCCGGACAGGCAGAAGCTGCAAGCAGCCGCTGCGCATGTGCGTCGCAGACGGCCCGGCGGGCATGCAAGCGGCCCGGCGGTGCGAGGGGTGGGGGGGAGGGCGCACCGGCGGACATGGCGCGGCAGCAGCTTGCCCCGATTGAGATCCCCCGCTTCATCGAGGGAGTTCCACATGCCTCGAAACTGCAGCGTGTGTGTGGCTGTTAAGTGCGGTTCGAGCGTGCGCAAACGAGGTCACCCTCCCCCCACCGGCCCCACCTCTGGCTCGCGTGCTGCCACTGCTCCCTCCAGGTTGACCACACGCGGTAGCCCGGGCCTTGCCCGCTCTATCGGGTCAGCCATGGCCCCGTACGCACCGCCCTTGCGGCCTGATCTTTGCGGTGCGTTTCCGTCTATGTGAAACGTTTGCCGTTTATATGCAGAAAGACAGAAATATGGAACCCATAGCAGGCCCAAACATCAAATCTTCTGCCCTATTGCTTCCAATTGGCTGCGCCGCTCGTCTCGTGCGCGTCGCCACATGCTGCAGGGTGGGCAACTGTCTGGTGTGCTCGCGGCCCGTGGACTGCGGCCGGCTTGATCGCCGCAGTCGGAACCGTTCATACACATGGGCGGCGCTGGATGATCCGATCACCTGCCGTTCACACGCATGACGCCCCAACGCCCTGTGCAAAAGTAATGCATTTATCCAGGGGTGACTGGGCGCCGCCCCCTCCCCCACCCTCACCTGCAACCTCCCTCCGCACCCGGTCCCTTTCCGTGGCCCATCCAATCGCGCTACGTCAGGCCCAGCAGATATGATTGCTCGGGCCTGAAAAATCTCCAGTGAGCAGACAAGTTACACCTAGCAGGGTGCCACGCATGCAGCATCGGCGCGGTCCAAGCAAACCCGCCGGGGCATCGCTCAGGCGGCGTGGCACCGCGCCCCTGCCCGGCACAACCCCAACATTACCATCCTCAAAGCTCGTAAGGAGTCCATATCCCCGCCGGCCCATGAAACAGTCTCCCATCCTTTCGTCCCGCAAACCAGCAAAGCCAAGCCAACCCATGATCTTCCCTGACTTGGTGGCCGCCCCGACGCTAGTCGGCGCCACCCATCCGTCCTCCACAGCGCCGGCGGCGCCGCATGGTGCGCCGCCGCCGCCGCCGCCGACTGGACGGCGCAGGCCAACGCAACAGCCGCGCCTCCTCCTCCTCCTCTTCGCCCCTGTGCGGAGCCGGCCGGGCCGTAGCCGGCCGTCGGCCCGCTCAGCGTGCAGGGGCGGCGGCCGGCTACGGCCCGACCATCTCATTCAAATTGCCATCATAGGCCCATCAGTCTTCCCGGGCGCGCGCGCCAGCTAGGCGCGCCGCCCGGCTCTTGGAACCGCAACATGTAGCCTACCACCTCAACGGCAGGACAAAACAGCACGGTGCCAGGCCGACGGCTGGCGGCCAGGGCACACGGTGCGCGGCAGCACACACGCATCCACACACAGACAAACAAACAAACAAACAAACACACCCGCAAACATCTGCCTAAGGGCAGCAGCGCCTCTCCGGTCGGGGGCGATGTCTTCTGCTAGGCGGCGCGTGATGGGGGGCGGCGCCGTGCGGCGGGACACAGCAGCAGCAAGTGCGGCCAAACATACACATTGTAGATGAATGGGGGGCCCATCAT